GTTGTTAATATTTTTAATTGATAAGTTACTTGAAAAGTAGCAGCATCCAGTAAACTTACTGCTATGTATTGTAAATTATTTTGGATTGTGTACAAAATGGCCGGTATTGCTAATTTCCATGCATCTTGTGCAAACACTTCATTGAAAAGCTCTCGTAGGTTGAAACGACCATTTGTCTTTATTTGATTTTGTATAGCCATATAAACAGAAATGATTAGTTTGGATAATTCCGATAGGAAAACTGCCGTAGATGTGAAATACAATGCATCTTTATCTTGAACAAGCCTAGAATATCTCATCACGATTACCAGCGTACTATTCTGAATGCATAACGTTAATAAACTTATATATTTTAATGATAACATTTTTATTTGCAAATTATATTGATGATGTATGTATGTATGGAGGATTTTGATGATGAAATGGGATATAATATGATGATGATGTTGAAAGTTTAATAATTTTTATTGATAAGTTTTTGAATTTTCTTTATAAAAAATAAATTAAAAAAGAGTTTTTTATTTTTTTTTTTTTTTTGACAAATCAAAAAGAATGATCCAAATACAAGTGCATAAAAATTTTTATTATACTATTTTTATGTGATATTTATTTAATTCATTGCCAAATTAGTGTTTTTTATCAAGCACAAAAAACCTGTTCTTCAAATTGCGTTTGATTAATTCATTTTGTGAATAAATCATTATTCAGATGCATATTTATCCTTTTTATTTTTTAGTTTTTTTTGGATTACGTGTAACAAACAATAAAACGCGGAAGTGGCGTTTAGCAAATTTCATTCATCACAATGTCTCTCTTACCCATATTTATTCTTTTCCTTCCCATAAAGTAAATGTTACAAAGAGCATATCGACGAAAAGGAAAAGAGGGGAAAAAAATATAACCATTTTCACAAAGAAATTTTTGTAATAATCTGCATTAATAATTTTTTTTTAATTTTTACTCTTTTGTCTGAGTCATATTTTGGATGAGCTACGTAATCCACGTTTCTTCTGGTTTTTCTAACTAATTTTTGAGAATTATTATCATCATCTTCATTTGTAATATTTCCAGAATTGTTATCATAAGAATGTTATTAATGTCAATATCATAACATTCTTGTTCCAAGTAATTATTTCTATCAGTTTCATTAACTTTACAATATTCACGAAAACAACTATTTTCCGAATTATGTTCACTTTCAAATTCATCTTCAACAAAGATATCTTTTACTAATCTCTTGGATCATAATTATTATCAGAAAATTTGTAAATTGATTCATCTTGATTAGTTTTGACTATTAATAAGTTTTAAATTTAAAAGAAAAATTTTGTTTAAAAAATTTTTTTTTTAGAATTGTTTATAATATCTCCTTTCCTCCATTTTTCTCTTTTCGTCACCAAATGTGACGAAATAATTTCCCCCTACAAAAACATTTCGTCGGGTATCATTAATTCAGTGAATACAAGTGAGTGATTATCTGTTTCGCTTGATGTCGCTTTGTGTGCATCGCGAGTGTATTTTGGTTGTAGTAAAAAGACAAGACAAATTATCGATTATAATAACACAAAAGCAATGTTGATCGGATGTTTATTGACTTTTACAGGAATCAATTTTTGCCCAATAATCTTGTCATATCTTCCGTTCGGTTTGATTCCTCATCCTCCAGGAGCTCAAAGGCTCGTTTACCTCTTGAAAAAAGCGCATAAGATTGGATTATAATACAGATGATATATAGTACTTAAAAAAATAGCTAGCTTTTTGATACTCCTTCCCTCGTAACCGAAATTCGCGTAACAAAAATTTTTTTTTTACTATTACTATTACGCTCTAAACATGTATTTTCCGGTCGTTACCAAATATAATTATAATATTTATAATATGTACGCCCATTGATTATTTAATCAAAAAATCCTTCAATCCCACCAAATTACAAATTAATAAAAAAAAGGTAATTCTTATTGCTTTTTGACCAAAAAAACAAATTAAATTGGACCAAATATTTTTTTTGTAAAACTTTTGCCGCGACTATCACCTGACTTTCTCAAAATACTTTATTAAATTGTACGTACTAATAAATTTAAATTAGATCATTTCATAGCTACCAAAAACTATTCCTGGCAAACTTAACTTACTGTCAATGTAATTTAAAAAAATGGAAGAGGTAATTCAAGAGTTAGACGAGAAATGTATTCAAGCATCTATTTGATTGTTTGTCTAATAATATAACTTTATATTTTGAAAAAATGTTCATACCTTCTTTTAGTCTAGCGCCTTAACATTATTACGTTTCATCCACTATAAGAATGAACATGAAGAAACAACCTATTTTAGTTTAAATAATTTATTAATGAAAATTATAAAAAATAAATCTTTGTCCAAAGTGTTTCGGTAATTTCGGCTACTAGTGAAGGTAGTTACAGCCGGATGTTATTTAAAGTTGGCAGCGAATTCGAAGTATCTCGACAAGTACTATTATCATTCTTATTATTAATTATTTGTATTTAAGTAAAAAAATTTTTTTTTTTAAATTTTCTCTTTTAATAAAAAATGCCTTCTATCAAGCAAGAGTGCAAGTGGCAAAAATGTCTGTACAGGTATACAATGTCAATTTCATCACAATAAGTTTTAATTTCAGAAAATATGAGCCAATTTATTAAATAAATATCATGTCAATAGTGGAAAATTCCTTAACGTTGGGTTGGAATTATTCGTAAGAAATTTTTTTAACATACCAAACTATTATAATCCAATTTTTGTGATTCTTCAAATACGAACCCGGGTACTCTCTTTATATTTTCGACCTGTCAACCCTTTTCTGTAAGCATTCATATATACCAAATAATTTTCTTGCAAATCTCCTATTTCATTAACTGATTACTAACTAATATTATCCAAAACATCAGATGAAATAGATTCAATAATTGTATTAGAAACCTTTATATCACTGTCAGATATATTTTGATAATCATTATTTAAAAATTTATTAATCCATTCAAAATCCCTTTCATGATCAAAAGGTTCATTACTATCTAATGGTTCGCTATTATTATGCAATGATATACGGTATCTCTTCATTATTATTATTTTATATTCTGCTACGAGTATTGTGTTTTTGTCATTCAAAGTAATGAAAAATTGAGGTTAAATTTTTTATTTGTTATCATCATCATCATCTAAATTGATTAATTTTTCTTTTCAAATTTTTTTATTTGAAAATTAATTATGGATATATTTATATCGAATTATTATTTTTATTCACACAAAATTTATTATTGATTCTTTCATTTCAGCCATTGATTTGTTCATTTCCTTCATCTATTATCTGACTTGGCACTTCATCTATTATTTTGCGCAGCATAACTTGAGTTATTGTTGTTGAAGTAGCTAGAAAGTTATCAGGTGCTGGCTCCTTTTCTGCAAAGAAGGATACCTTTCTTGTTAAAGAGAGAACCAGTATGAACACGCATGACTTGACAAAATAAAAATCGATTGGCCATTTGTCGCAATTTCTTTAAGCCACAACACTCACTAAGACAATATAATATTAAAAAAATGAATGTTGGAACTAACAACATCCCAAATAATGCAAGAAATTACGATGGTTAGTTGTAATAATAACAGTCCAGAATGTTGGAATGACTATAGCTGGGAATAATATCAAGAATAAGCAGATATAAATAAAAAACAGATAGCTCTTTAAAGACTATTCCAACTTTTTCATTATTGCAGCTACTGCGTAAATTAAATGCAACCCCATGTTTACAATTGAAAATATCTTTATGCTCATCAAATCATCATAGGCAAAAGAAACTATTAGCGGAATCACCCAAATGACCGAATTGTATTATAAGTCATCCATTAATGACAGCAGCACACTTTTTATGCGTCCAGATTCCCCTGAAACATTCAACAGAAAGGCAAAAAAGACTGGAAAGAATGTGTTAATAATTGCATCATATAATCCTCTTCGGATTTATACTTTTCGTTAACAATAGATACAGTCACAAGTGGAAGGAGTGTAAAGAAAATGATTTTTCACAAGATAAACTTCAATTTCACTTGCTTGCTTTGGTTAAGAGAATAATTGTTCATGTTGAATAATTGGAAAAGTTTCATCCATAGAACTTATTTTATAGAATCAATAATTGACAAAAACGAATGTATAACTCCAAAATTCAAAAAAAATAATTTGGGCATGTGATTAATAATTGATATTATTATGATACATATTCTTTTTATGAAAATATGAATCTTAAAAATATAATAAGAATGTTCAGTTGTTAGAAAAGGTGAAGTTTATAAATTATCAATGCTATTGTCAGTAAAGAAAAATTTGTAATACCATGAAAATATTAATTTAGTAAGAATGGTTGTCAGTAAAGAAAAATTTGTAATACCATGAAAATATTAATTTAGTAAGAATGGTTAGCATGCATGATGATGACAATTCCTATTTGATACTATATAAGGTATTAATGTCAGTTCCAATATAATAACATTGTCA